ACCCAGAGGCAATATATATTTGAGAATATAATGCCAGAATTTAAAAGATAGAATTCTGTCAAATCATCTTTGCAAACAAAAGGAGAGAGGCATGGCAGGAAAAAAAAATGTTTCTTAAATCATTTTATGTTGTTTTCAAATGCTTGTTTCTTTGTGTGAATGTATTGCATTTGTGTGTGAACATATATGGAACAGTAACTAGATCCACCATGGAAAAGCATAGAGAATTTTAAAGCTATACATGTATATCATTAATGTACCTATTTGGGGGTTGAGAGTGGCATTTTGGTCCCATTGGCCTAATTAATGTTCTTAATTCAACTTCATTTGTCAGCAGCAGTACAGTAGTGACTTTCACACTGGCCATATCCAGAGAAAAGGCTTTTAAAAATGTACACAGGAATTGATGACTTTCCCATAGTCTCAAAACCCTTGTTACTAACATAACTTCTCTAGTTTGGGGCAGCAATTTCACCCTCTTTGTATATTATTATGGAGGTTAGCTTATTATTCCCACCATTCAGTAAGCAGGCAAAGCATAGCCAGCAGAGACTCTAGTTAGGGCAGCATTTCCTCATGTAGGAGAAGAGGAACAGTTTTCTCCAAGTAATCTTCTATTTCGGTACAAAATACATTTGGAGACAATGATATACTATAATACATTATGGTAATTATGTCATTTGTGATAAATTAAGTCAGTTTATTTCCCTTATTTCACATTTACTCATGTGTCAGACTTTACAAAAAAATAAAAAAGAAACAAATCTTACTGAGCAGCAAAAAATATCAGAATTTTCTGAGAAGAGCACAACAAATAGGATATTTACAAATGGTATTATGAAACACAAGCCTTCAGAGAAATAACTAGGTTGATGGAAGAGCACTAGACACAGCTTGCTTATATTTATATCATTCCATGTTTCAGATGGTAATAGAAAGTCCATTGGTATATGTAAAATGCTTACTTAAGTACAGTGCCTGGATTTATCATTTATCAATAGCTACAATTCTTATAACTGACTGCAAAAATGTTGAAATAATAGAATACATGTAGAATACTTTCAGGAATAGGGAACTTAAAGAACTTTGGAAAATTTTATCTGTCCAAATGTGTGTAGAGCTAAGACACTTATTATGGATTGGCTGGCTGTATACATATGAGTTACCAGTATCAGAGTGCAGAATTTATTTATTTTGTATTTTATTAGTTGTTGATAGATCTTTATTTTATTCACTGGGATTGAGCCCAGTGCCTCACACATGCAATGCAAGTGTTCTACCACTGATCCACAACCACAGCCCTCAAACTTTATGTTTTAACATGGCCAGAGTTCCTAATCTTTATGTCTTCAACCTGTTGTAATTTAGAAAAAGGCTTTTTAAGTTTTAAAATTCTTTATATTTAGCATTTCTTATGCACATAGATTAATTTTCTTCAATACACCTTGTGAACTCTTGGAAAGTTTTACTTCTCTAAGCTCTGAAATTTACATCTAATTTTTCTCCAGTGGATATCCATGTATTGCAACCCTTCCATTGAATAAATGTACATGTTCAAACTTTAGCTTCAGAGGTAATTTTGACACATACTTCTTAGGTTTCCACCAGGAATGAAACAGAGAAAATGCTCTTCCATAAATACCACATGATGAAGGATAGATGTGATATGGTTACATATTGTATACATGTTTTGAAGTAACACACTTTATCTGATAAATATGTAAAATTGTGTGCCCTTTAAAAACAAAAAGTTTAGCCTTGCATGAAACTGATTTAAAAAGGGGGGGGTGGGCATTTAAAGCCTTGGAAGTATAGATGCTTTATTTTGAGTAAAGACATTATGTCTTTCCTAGGCATTGTTTATTTACATAGGAATGAAGTTTCAAGAGGATAAGTCATAGATTTTTAGTTGAGATATG